CCCAAAAAAGGTTGGGAAACACTGGTCTAGATCATCTTCCCCAGCCTGGTGCCCTCCAGCTCTTTTGAACTACTCCTCCCATCAATTTCAGCATCACGGCTATTCCGGCTGGAGCTGTAGGCAGTTGTAGTCCAAGTTGGTAGTTCTGGCCTAGGGAGTTGCAGTTCAGAATATCTACAGGGCACCTGGTTGGGGTGGGGGCTGATCTAGAACCCCAGGCAAGGAGGTACAAAGGTTGCATGATAATGAACTGAGAAGGTGTTCTAGAGCATTTTCTCAGAGGAAATCCTGAGGTTAAGATACTTCCCTTTCTAGCCTCTGCCTTTTCTGTTCTTTACTAAATGTATGAAAATCCATGATTGTGTTCTCTCCTTTGTTTTGTTTTTAAAATAAACTTTATCCAACAATCAACATTAACTTACACAACAACCCACTCCAATATATAATATACAACAATACACAACAATGCAGTATATACATCACCAATCACAAATTTTCCTATGTATGCTTTACAGAAAGAAAAAGAAGAGAAAAAGAAGAGATTGTGTTCTCCCCTTTGAAGCAACGTGAATTACATGAATAATTCAATTTAAAAAACAAAAACAAAACACCCATAAACAATTCATTCACAAAATGTAGAGGGAAGGAGTATGTCTTCTGTGTATTTTATTGAGTCTGTTTTAATATTAGATTATTAGATGCCCTGTGTTCATTTCACGTATAAACTCTATCAGATTCTTTTTAGTCTGTTTAAAATACAGTGTGTTCAAAATTAGTACGTATATATTCAGGGCTAAATTTCAAAACAGTGATAGGAAATCTATCCATCCATCCATCCATCCATCCATCCATCCATCCATCAGATTTGTATAATGTTGCTCAGTAACATTGTTGCCTGAGTGGCTTACAGCCTAACACAGCAATCCAAACCCCCCCCCCCCCCCGCTTGTGCTAGGCTATTCAGAGTTTGTTTGATTGGAGGTGTCCTTCCAGTCAGCTCTGACAGCTGAGCCTTCTTCTGGCCACTAAATGGGTATACAGCAGGGAGATAGGTGTTAAATCCAGAACGCGGCAGAAAATCCCAAAGCAGTTGTTGAATTTGTGGCTATTTTCTTAAGTGGGAAAATCATCTCTTACAAACAACTTTTCCCCCCCTTCCCCCTCCTTTTACAAACTCAATTATTCCATTAAACACAAAATATGGGCTCAATGCAATTGGTTTAGTCACATAGAAAATAGATTTTGTATCAGCGTCCCTCTTTTCTCCACTAAATAGTATAATTTATGGCCATCCAGGGACCATAAATGATTTCAACCTGCCTCCAAGGCCATTCGATTCTTCAGGAGTTCTGTCCCCTATTAATCAATAAATGGTCCTTTGCCTTTCTTATCAAATGACAGCCAGATGGTTCAGTTAAATTCACAGTGACAGGCCTGGAGAATTAGCTAGGCTTACACCATTGATAATCCTTTGCCGTCTGCCCTTCCCACCTGTTCCTCTTCAGCCCTGAGGTCATGGCCTCATGAAACATGCTGGCCAGATGGTCACCGCTATAGCCAGAAGCCCATGCCTTCTGGAGGCTAGTGCTTCATTTTCCTGGTGGGATAAAAGGAGGAGAGCAAAGCAAGAAGGGAAGACAGCAGAGAAGATCTTGATGATTCCTTAAAAGTGTAGGACAGCTGTGCGTTATTGCTTTCAATTTTTCAGGGAAACCTTTTCAATGGACTCATCTGCTGAAGGGCCCCAGAGCACCCTGGGTACTCAGGTCATGCTGGGCTATGGGAAAGTCTGTTGGGCCTCACCTGCCGATAGGCACCCCACAGCTGCCAGGCATGCTCTTCCCACCCCCGGATATTGGATTTGAGTTAAATCCCTGCTCACTGCAGTCTTGAATTCTAGCGCACTTTTCAAAAAGAACAGCTTCCCTGGCTAACTTGCAAAGATGTCATGAGGCCAAACACTCCCAGGTTCCTCGGTAGGAAGAGGACTACATCCATTTTAGCATGTAAGACTAAATAGATCTGGTCAAGATCTGTCTTTGTTTTTAAATCCATTCTCCATAGCAAGGCTGCATATATAAGAGTTACAGCCACAGTTATGTATCTAGAATAAGCAAGCAGGCATTCAAAACTACTTGCTTAATTTACTTTTGATAACATAATTTGGGATTAGTTCATGGAATTGTAGAATCCAGCCCCCTGTAATGCAGGAATCTCAGCTAAAGCATCCATGACAGATGGTCATCCAGCCTCTGCTGAAAAACCTCCAAGGAAGGAGAGTCAACCACCCCCCAATAGAGTCTGCTTCACTGTTGAATAGCTCTTATTGTCATAAAGTTCTTCCTGATGTTTATTCAGAATCTCCTTTCTTGTCATTGGTTTGGGTTCTAGCCTCCAGAGCAGGAGAAAACAACCTTGCTTGATCTTCCATATGACAGCCCTTTAGATATTTGAAGATGGCTGGAATATCTCCTCTCAGTTTCCTCTTTTCCAGGCTGAACATATCCAACTCCTTCAACCATTCCTCATAAGTCTTGGTTTCAGGAATAGGTGAGGGTGTTGGGCATGTTTAGCCTGGTGCAGCGTGTGCAAAAAAACAAAATGGCACAGAATACAGTGCAGAGAAGCAACAGAGTAATAAAGAATAAAAATGGATAATAAGGAATCATTATTCCCTTGAAAACCCTTGTAGAATCTTGGATCCAAAATCAGCTTTAGGTCAAAAGCAATTTTGATTTGCTGCAATTTTTAAAAGATTTGTGGGGGCTTTAAGTGAAATTGTTTATTGAAATCCAGCTTGTTGTAGTTTATTTTAAAGTAGCTGCTCTTCTTTTGCATTCACCTCTTGCATTTTTGTATGTGTTAGTGTGTGCATGCAAGCACCTACACCCACACACCTCTGTATGCACACTGACTAGACGCTTGGCCTCACACCCCTGCCTCGACCATGCTTTCAAGGCCATTTGATGTGGTCTAGCCATGGGGTCACGAAGAGTCGGACACGACTAAACAACAAGACAAGTTCACCTCTTTTCCTGCCCTTGTACTGTGTTCCATGTCTTATCTACAGGATACACTTCAACACCCACATCCCACAGAAGTGATCCCTGCAATAGCCCCAAATTGGTTCAAATAATCAAATGCCGAACTAAGCGGTGGCTTAAGTCAGACCAGTGCATTATTTAAAGGGTAGTGCTGTGCCAATAGTGGAGCACCCCTTTTGCATGGGAGAAGAGGGCAGTCGTGTGGCATCATATTTACATTGGACTGAAGGAAGGTGAGGTAAAGTCCACCCCCTAGCAAATAAGTGTTTAAAGATTAGCTGGCTGGAATTTCACAGAGGTTGTGGTGGGTCGGTCATTTTGGTGTTCAAAGCACTTGTCTGGCACACTCTGCTTACAAATGTATGTTTACATTTTGAGGGAGGCTGAGAAAATGTAATCTCTTGTCTTTAACTAGCCTCTCTTATTTTCTGCAACTAAACTCTACCATTTCAATTGCAACAAAACATATCCTCTCCCCATATGGGAAGTACTCCTGTTTGGGGTTCCAGGCAGTCTGGAAAGGAGCCTGATGATGCCGGACAAGCCTTCCAAAGAGAGGGAGAGTGTTCAAGGGAAGGGAAGGGGCCCCCGTTTTCTTCTGCACCTTAAGGCCTTCCTGCGCTGTGTGGCAAGAGGGATCAGGCTTTTCCACCTGCCACTCAACATACCTGGTACTTGCTATTGTAAAATTGTGGGATATGAGCAAAAGCAAAAATGGTTAATCCCACCCTCTTTCCGTTAGCTGGAAACATTATCAAGTGACATAGGATGGGGAGGTTTTTTTTAATAAAAAGAAAAATACAAGGGACCTGATAATCTTCCTCTTCCTCCTCCAAGATGCTAACTGTAAGTTGTCAGAGACATCAGCAAGCTAATTCCTTGGCCAGATGTTCTGTATCTCCTGCAAGCTTCTTGTTGGGCTGTTTGTCTCTTTTTAAAATCTTTCTCATTCCTTTTTCTCAAAAAGTTTTGAGAAAATACAGTTACAACTATTATCTGTCTGTCTGTCTATCTATCTATCTATCTATCTATCTATCTATCATCTATCTATCTATCATCTATCTATCTATCTAATGATAATCTGATTGTGAAATCTGCCCTGGAACAACGGCCATGGCAAGGATGCAACTATAAACACTTATTAGATACAGTTTGACCAGCCACTGCTTTTGTTTCACCACCACCATTTTACTCTGCTGAATTTAACTCATGGATGCTCAGTTTTATTAGTTCATTATATGTAACTGTCAGTCTATTTTTATTTTTTTTGCGTGCAATGTATTTATTATGTATAATCTATTATTGTAAAAGTGTTGCTGCCCATCTCTTCTTCATTTCCAAGCTATATCAGCTACCTTTGGAGTTACCTCCTGTGTGTTTTCAAAGAAACCTCCAGAGCAAAAATCACCAAAAACTTAATTTTTCAATATCATAATTCTGCATTAAGGGTCAGTTTCAGCTTGCAGAATCTCAGAATAATTATTCTCCCTCTGAAGATGAGTGTTTAGAGGGCTTTAGAGTGTTTAGAGCCAGTGTGGTGTAGTGGTTAAGAGCGGTAGACTTGTAATCTGGTGAACTGGGTTTGTGTCCCTGCTTCTCCACATGCAACTGCTGGGTGACCTTGGGCTAGTAACACTTCTCTGAAGTCTCTCAGCCCCACTCACCTCACAGAGTGTTGTTGTGGGGGATGAAGGGAAAGGAGAATGTTAGCCGCTTTGAGACTCCTTCAGGTAGTGATAAAGCAGGATATCAAATCCAAACTCCTCCTCCTCCTCCTCTTCTTCTTCTTTTGCATCCATGTTTCCAGATTGGCAGTTGCCCTTCAAGATTTGGCCGGCTTACCTTATTGTTGGAGTGGGAAGCTTTGGGAGGTAAAACAAAACAAGCAAGAGAGAGGAAGGAAGGAAGGAAGTAACCATCTTTTCTTTTCCCTCCCTCCCTTTCTTTCTTGAACAGTATTCAGGTTTTCAGCAAACTGCAGACAAGTGCTTCATTTGTGGACACCTCATAATGGAAATGGTAAGAGGAGAGGCTTCTAAAATGTGCAATATATTAGGCGGGGGTGTGTGGTTTCTAGTCCTCTCTTTTACTTCCCCTCCACCCAAACATGTACACACACCTTAAGAAATTTCCTTTTCTTCCTGAAATGCCAACAATACTTCAAGATAGAGTAAGGTGCCTTCATGTTGTTGGGATTTTGGCGGAGGCAGTGAGAGGAGAGACTTCACATATTAAGTGATGGAGTCTTAGCTTGCAGTAACTGACTAGGAAAGAGACCATGGGGTTTCTGTGAAGAGCTCAATGAAAGCAGGGGAACAACACAGCAAGCTGCCTTTATACTGAATCAGACCATTGGTCTAACTCAGTATTGCCAACACTGGCTGGCAGTGACTTAGTTAGACAGGGAACACCACCAGCTCTAACTGGTAGTGTCAGGGACTGAACCTAGGATCTTATGCATGCTAAGCAGATGTTTCACCACTGTGTTGCTGTTCTTCCCCCAAATGCCAACCCATTTCGTAGTAGCTGTTGTGTAGGTAATATACCTCCAAGGGGGTGAGAATTGATTTTGGGGCTGTCTTTGTTTCTTTTCCAGATTTTGCAGGCCTTGGGGAAGTCCTACCATCCTGGCTGTTTCCGCTGTGTGGTCTGCAATGAATGTCTAGATGGCGTCCCGTTCACTGTAGATGTGGAGAACAATATTTACTGTGTGAAAGACTATCACACGTGAGAACGCAGAACCTTGTATGTTGGGGGGGACGAGGAAGAGGGGGGACGGACTGTGCATGAGATGAGGAAGGGCTGGTTGTTGCTTTCAGGTATTGCAAAACGGCACCAAGAAGAAAGCATCATCCAGTGTTAAATCAAATTCAAATACCAGGGAGTAAATGGGGCGAAGGGAAAGAAGGCCTTGCAATAATTTTGCACATTCCAGCAGATGCTCTTGAATGCCAGGCTGGCATTAAACAAGGAGGTGTCCTGAGCCTTGAGTGCACCCTTTTAAATTAGGGAGAGCCAACATGATATCCTCCAGATGTTATTGGACTACAGTGCCCATCCACCACAGACACCATGGCCCAGTGGTCAGGGATGATGGGAGTTGTAGTCCAATAGCACCTGGCTGCTCCAGTTTTAAAGGGCTTTTTTACAGTGTCAAAGAGGAGGCAAAGCATCAGTGGTCGTTGAAGGGCTTGATGTATCAGACCTCCAAAGTTGGGGTTCCCGGGGGGGGGGGCTCTGTACAATCTCCTTTCAGTCTCTGCTCAGAAAGAACACATGCAATGTCAGTTGCGGGGCAGGTTTTGTGTGGTTTGGGGAAAACTGCCAAACACCAGGTGAGCCAAGTTTACCCCTTCCAAACCAGAGGTGTGTGTGTGTGTTAATTAAAATATTTGGGGCTTTTTAGTTTAGAGAAAAGGCACGCAAGAGAAGGCATGCTAGAGGTGTATAATATTATGTGTGGTGTAGAGAAAGTGGTTAGAGAAAAGTTTTTCTCTCTCTCACACAACACTAGAACTTGTGGGAATGCCCAACGAAGCAGAGTGTTGGAAGACTCGGGAAACATAAAATGAAACATTGCCTCATCTAATACGTAGTTAAATTATGAAATTCCACCCCTATTCCCTCAAAATGCAGTGATGGCCATCAACTTGAATAGCTTTTAAAAGAGGACTGGCCAGTTAATGGAGGTTAAGGCTACTGGTGGCTGGGTCCTGGTTGACCACTCCAAAAACAGCCTGATCCAGCAGTCTGTTGCGTTCCTAGCCAGCCTACTCTAAGTTGGGGTCCTCCAGATGTTTTAGAGTGTAACTCTCATCAGCCCCAGCTAGTATGGCCATACAGTGCTGGGGCTGATGGGTGTTGTAGCCAAAAGAATCTTGGTTGGGGGAGGCCTGTTTAAACTATTGAACCCAGTTCCTCATAAAAGTTTAGAATGCCAGCCCCTGAAACAGGTGTGGGGAACCTCTGACCCTCCAGGTGTTACTGAACTACAACCTCCATCTTCCTTGCCCATTGGCCATGCTTGCAGGGGCTGATGGGAGTTGTAGTTCAACAACATCTGGCGGGCCCAACACATGCTTACAGGTTGAGAAATTCTGCTTGCTCTTAGCGATGATACGTTGTGAATTTATTAATAAGGGAAAGGGTGCCTCCTCAACTGGTTATTTGGGACTTGAGCCGAAAGAGAAGACTGCTTGAGCAAGACTTCTGCTATAGGGACCCCAAACTTTAGCTGTAGTTAAAATGCTGTCATATTCTCCCACCCTTCTCTTAAATTTATTTTGCTTTCTTTATTAAACAAGAGTGTGACATACTTTCTCTTTTCATACTAGGGTTTTTGCACCAAAATGTGCTTCCTGTAACCAGCCCATTTTACCAGCACAGGTATGGTATTCCATTTGCATATACTTTGCAGCCTTTCCTATGCCTCCTTAAATTTACTAAGAAGGCGACACTTTAAAAGTGTTGTTTGAACTTTGCTGACATAGAATTAAGATGCTCACACACACACAATGAAGATGATGAGATCATTCTAGGGCTACTTTGAAGCAAGCGACATGTGGATGTTTCAAATGCAGGTTCTTCCACATCCCCTTCTCTGACTCACTCAAAGGTAGGTTAGCAAGGTTTCTAGTAAAATCCATGTGCCTGTTCACGGCAGAGATTATACAGGCTTTTAAGGCGGATCTGCTCCCTTCTGGACTGCAAAGAAAATACATTGTCTACAGACAACTCAGGCTGACTTTGGAACTGTTTGGCAGGGGTCTGTTCTTTAAACAAAAAATGTGCCCTCTTCCTCCATGAGATTTAGCTACTCACCTCCATAAGCATATCAAATTGTCTGAAGCAAAAAGCCCCCAGCTACAACTGACAGCCAGAGAGTATTCGTTGAGTTTCTTTTTGTTTATTATGTGGTTGTGCAAACGAATACAATGTGCTGAACAGAATTGCTTATTGCTGGTGATGTCGAATGTGTTGACTACAAGGTCCTGACATGCTTTCCTGGCTACCAGTAGATGTGTGCAGCCTAAGTAAGTGCACCTGGATAGCAGTCAACCACAGCAGCATCCATTCCATTTTTCTCTAAAAGCCACTCCTGGGTCATGGGCAAAGAGTCAGCAACGTACTGGGCACAAACTGTTAGGTGGTTCTCTTAGGTGAGACTTGTGAAACATTATGATAACCTTTCCCTAGACCAGCAGATAAAATATCTGCATGGCACTGAGCTCCTCTCCCCACTCACCCCAAGACTCTAGTATTTGCTCCTGTCCAAATGTGTGTAGCTGTAGGTCCCTTTTTCTTTACAACCTGCAGGTGTATGGGCCCCTCCCTTCTTCCCTCTTGAGTGCCCCAACAAAGCTCTAATTCTGGGGGGGTGGAATCTGCACCTCAGTCTTAAGTTGTACACTGTATTTTGCAAGGAATTATCCTTGCCCGACAGAAAAATGGAATAAAATGGAACAATTCTTCTTCCACTAGAGCCGGCCTCCATAAACCCCCTCCCCAAATGAAGCAAAGAGTGGGTGAAGTAGAGAGACATTTTCTTGTTAAGTTGCAAAAATAAAAATGGGGAGGGGATTCCCTGAGGGCCTATTTCCATTGAGGGGGAAATTATAGAATGCTGCCATACCTTACTTGTTATCTTCCTCAAATCAGGGTTCCGAGGAGACCATCCGGGTGGTGTCGATGGACAGGGATTACCATGTGGAGTGTTACCATTGTGAGGTAAACCTTGGAGCTTCTCTGGTGCTGAATAAGGCAGGCTCTTTGGCCTTGGTCTAAGCCAGCCTTCTCCAACTTGGCGCTTGTGCCTTACCCACCCGCCATTTTTATTTTTACAGTATTTCGATTAGAAAACATGTCAGGGTGCTTTACAATCGCTCCTAAAACACAATTAAACAGCAATCTATATCAGGAAAATACTTTACAGCAGTAAAATGCAGCACTGGAAGCAGCAGCAAAAATTCATCAAAGGATAAAAGGCTGAGGAAACGAAATGGGCAGCTTTGCCAGTCACTTAAACATTAAGATAGGGCCAGGTGAGCTTCCCTGGAGAGAGTTCCAGAAGCTGGGAGCCACCACTGAAAAGGCTCTGTGCGCTGCTTCCACCCTTTAGGTGGCAGGAGAATCTGGAGAAGGGACTATGAGATAGAGCTTGGTGTATGGTTGATGTGGGAGAAGACATCCTCTCAAGTATCCATGCCACAAGCCAGCAAGCGCTGTTGGGAGTTGTAGTCCAAAACACCTGGAGGGCCACCAGGTTGGTGAGGGCTGCCTAAATGTGATTCTTTTCATTCGGAGTTTTCCCCAGCTGTCTAACATGTGCATACTCTTGTTCCTCTTAGGACTGTGGACTCCAGCTCAATGACGAAGAAGGCCGCCGTTGTTATCCTTTAGAGGGGCACTTGCTTTGCCATGGTTGTCACATCAGGCGCCTCAGTATGACAGTGCCACCCCACCCTCCCCCTGGATACCCAATGCACATTACAGAACTCTGAGGTGTTTCGCGCCCCATCAAATTGCAACCAGGAGGGAGGTCGTTGTTGGCGGGAGAAGATTTCCACAGATGACTTGTCAGTTCTTCTTTTAAGAGACAAAGCAGCCAAGTTTATTTATTGCTTCTGAGACTGTAAAGAGAGGTGCGCCTCTCAGAGTGTGTGCCTAAATAATTCCTCCCAAGACACTGGGTACTTGAAAAATGATGCACCACGTGGATGTAACTGTAAAAGGTTCAGCGAGAAGTGTTGTTTTCTGTGCTATGCTAGGCAGGGCCATCTGTTCGTCATAGTTTTGTCCCATTGTAGTTTGGGTCCCTGCAAGAATCTTAACCGCTTGCAGCAGTGCTGCAGGAGAAAGCGGATAAATGCTACATTTTTATGCTGGGTCTCATTGCATCTTGGCTTGAGGCGTTTTGAGAAATGACCTCACAATATGAGGGTCTGGGTGGTTGTTGCAGGAGAGGATTGGGTTTTGTTTTGTTTTTTAGTCATGGTCAGATTTAAACATGACTTAAGAGAAAGAAGTTGTTCTGTGGGGGAGAAATTCATTGTCTTAGCCCATGGTGCTTTCATACAGTGCCAACAAGAGAGATGTGGAAGAAGCTCTTTGTAGAATATTATATGAACAGAACCCACTGAGGAATCATCGATGCAACAAGCATTTTTGCAGGGGGTTTCTTAGATGTTTGGGATCCCTTGTGTGGGAGTTCTGGTGCCCATTATTTTACCAGTTAAGGGATGCAGGCCGGATCCAGTTACAACATAGTCCAAGACTGCAGGGCAGGTTGAGACCTCATAGCCTCCTTGAGCTGGCAGGCAGCTATATAGTTATGGGCATAGTTGCTTATAATAGTACTATTGGTGTGCTGGCAGGGACTAATGGGAGTTGTAGTCTAAAACGTCTGGGAGGAAGGCTGGTGTGATGGGATGCAGAAACCTGAAAGGCTGCCTAAGAGCTGAGATGTTCCCGCCCTGCCTTGTGATGCTCATTCGAGCCTAATAAGAGGCAACCAAGGAATGAGAGTCTCCTGTTTTAACATGTCTTTCCTCACAGTGACTTGGCCCTGGCACTCTGGACATCACTGCCTGCTTACCAGTGGCAGATAAACAGCCACTAGGGGTGACTTCCCAGGTCCTCAAATTCTGGTGTGTGTTTTTTGTTTTTGTTTTGGTCAGTCTCTTAGGCTTTTACACCAATTTCAGCTAATAACTTCAGTCCTCCTGACTATGCAAAATTCTACTTGTTTTGCAATTGTACTAGATTATATGTTGCCTTTGTTGTGTGTGTGTGTGTGTTTTTAAGGGCAGCAGATTTATGGTGTGGTTTCAGTTGCAGGTGGCAGACATGCTTTTTCCAGAGAAGTCCTTTTGAATTGGTTTGCTCCATGCTGGATTTTTACAGCTTGCCTCTTGAGAAGCTCAACTCTGGAGGTCAATTTATTAATGATTGAATCCCCAGCATTTTCAAACTAATTTCAGGTTATTAGGAAACAAGTGGCCCTTGACAAACACATAGCAGTTTTCCAAGGAGGCCCTGAGGGGCATTTGCCCCATCTCTCCCCTCCTCCCACCCAACTGTTTTTTTCAGGCTGAAGTGGGGGTCATGCCACATTTAATAAAGGCCATTTAAACATCGTGTAATCGCCTAGAATGTCTGGCAAGAGCAGCTTGTTTGGACAGTTCAGTAACAAGAACCAATCACCCTGGAAAACAGGGTGGCAGAAGATGGGAGTCACTGATAGATTTGCCAGTGGCACGCTGAAATTTTCATTTTCACCAAATCCACCTTGAAAGTCTTTACCCATCGCCTCTCCAGAGACAATTTTATGATGTGCAGACCTACTTGGAGATGTCCTTGGAAGCCAAGCGGAAGTAAAAACGATACTTAATAACAAACACAAAGAGTTCCTTGAAATGTGCATATTTTCCTGTTTTGCCTGAGCTCCTACAAAACACCCAGAAGAACTCTGTAGACTCATAAGACTTTATCGACCTTAAGCATGTTTTAACTGGTTTTAAGTTTTACATGCGGGGGCCAGATTTCTGTCTGCTGTAAACAGTTGTATCCTCCAGTAATTTCAGCAAAACTAAGAATGTGATCCTTTCGTTTTCAAGCTGTCAGCCACAACAGCCAACAGAACATCAGTGTTATACTTTGAAAGCAAACCAAACCGAACCCCTCAAAGCAGCACGTCTGCTCTGGCTGGAGTTGATGGAAGTTCTAGTCCACAAAACCTAAAAGGCATCAGTCAAGGAAGGTTGCCAAACTGTTTTGCTGGAATTATACAGGGGGGAAATAAATGGCAAAGGAACAGTTTTGAGATTTTGCCCCCTTTTTATATTATAAAATATAATGGATTAAAAATATTCCTGTTCTCTCTCCAGCAAGGAAGAAATGCCACCTTTTTGAACTGATGCAGGATAATGCTTGGGCCCTCTTGGTGTTGGAAGCAACAGTCTTCATCCAGTGGGCCCAGCTTGTTTCATGGGGTGTGGAGTCTAGTACATGCCACAACCTGGAGTGATGGATGCTCGTCGTATTTGGATCCCTTGTACAGCATGCTTTGTTTCTCAGAACATCAGAGGTAGCCATTGAAATACCTTCAGATGCTGTTGGACTGCAACTCTCATCATCCCTGAACATTGGCCATACTAACCTGAGCTGGTGTGAATTGTAGTCCAACAGCATTTGTGTTGGTTATCCCTGCTGAACACTCAACATTGTGCATGCTTTTCTCCTGTGATTCTCTGGATTGGGGCCAGTCCACCTAAAACCAACCTCCTTCCATCATTTAAGTTTAACTATCTTCCTCTCTTCCCACCCTATAACCACAATGGGAGTTGCAGTCCAGAACATCTGAAGGCCGCCAAGTCAGGGAAGTTTGTATTACCCAGTGCCTTGACCATTAGTGGCAAACCTTTTAATTCATATTCCTGCCTTAATTTTCAGTGAATAGCACAGCATCCACACTATGTACATACACTACTGTTTTTACTGTTCTCAACTGACATCCGTTGGAATGGAGTATTTAATTTCACTTGTTAAAAATGTTTCAGGTCTTTTTTTTCTTTTTCTTTTTTACGCAGTTCCGTATTGTTGTATAGATGCTGAACCTTTTTATTTCTAGCAAGACCAAGTTTGCCCTGTCCAGAATGCAGTCATTTTCCATAAACTGTTTTTCCACAGAAAGCGGAATTTGATCACGGCTCAGTGGGCTGTGTCTTGCCAACTTTTTTCTTTCCGTTTTGAAAAACAGAGCTTGTTTAGATTTCCTTAATTATTTTTTGTTAAGAAGAAAGCATCCAGAAAGCTTCCCACAGCGACTCTGAAATGGTGTGCACTGAAATTAGAGTGAAACGTTTTACCTCTTTTCCTTGGAAAGTATAAAAAGAAACTCCCTTCAAGTTGTTTTTTTTTGGGGGGGTGCGCATAGCTCAGTGTGCAGGCAGTCCCAGACTTCTCCAGTTGAAAGGAACAGGTAGCAAGTGATGCAAAAGGCCTGTGTCTCCCTGTGTCTCTGGAGAATTCCTGCCAGTCAGGAAGCAACACTGAACTAGAATAGCCTTTGCCAACCTGGTGCCCTTCAGATAGGAGTTATGGTCCAACATCTGGAGGGCACCAGAAGGCTGGATTAGAGGGACAAAGAGTTTGAGGCAGCTTTTTATGTTTGCTTCGAGAGAATTCTTATTTAACAGGGATGGAACACTTCTTTCATTTGTGCCATAATATTTATTGGTGATTTTTCCTATTCTTTCTACTTTCAGTTTCATTGCTTAGTCTTTGCATTATGGAAGTTCCACCATATCCCTTAAAATTATGAGGTTCCAAAGGAAAGACCAAAGTAGTTTTGAATTTGAATGAGAAGAGAATTGCTTAAAAATAGAGGGTGCACATTCTGAAATTCAGAATTTCAAGAAGTCCAAGAATTTAAACCAAAGCTCGAAGAAGGCACACAAAAGCTGCTTTCTCATGCCCTGAGGAAAGTTTGTGATTCATCATGCAACTAATGCCATAACTAGAGTATATAATTTGACTTAAATTAAGTTTTTTTCTTGAGAATTATTTTCATTTTCTTTAAAAGAATATAGTTTTTTTTCCAAGAACTTGGACCAATGTTGATTTTTATTTTGTAGGAAATATATTAAATGCCCAATTTGTATATCGTGTCTAGTTTACATGCTGCAAATATGTTAGTTTAACCTTGTTTGTATATATCATTCTAAAACCTTCGGCCTTTTAGTTAGTACATAGATTGACTTGCCGGGTTTTTGTCTTGTCATTTGGTTTCCTTGATTGTTGAAGAATTAAAGTTGGGAAATGTAGATTTATTTATCTAAAGAAGCTGCTTGCTATCGTCCTAAGTTATTTTAATATTAAAAGTCAGAATTTCATTTAACCTTAGATGTTATAATCTGCTTTTTTTCCCCAATAAAGACATTTTGTAGTTACTTCTGATTTTATAGTGTGTTACCTAGAAGGAATTGATTGGTTATGGGAACAAACTGTGTGTTTCATGCCATGCTGCTCCAATACCTTTTTATTTTGTCATTTAACTTATTTTTTTAAAAGCAAATAAATGGCAAAGCTGCGTCAGAAAGCAGAAAAGATGGTACAAGCCTTTTCTCGCCCACAAATCCACACACACCCCTCCAACAGCTGTCCTTTGTACACTTTTAAATGTGCCAGTGGTTTGTGGGTTTTTTAAGGGTTACAGTGGCCACTTTCCAGTCCTCACTTATATAAGCTGATCTTAGAGAGAAATTTTATATTTGTGTTAGAAGATCAGCATTTTCACATCTTGTGTTCTTTTAAGAACTTTCTGGTAAATGCCACCTGGACCTGGTGATTTGTTAATTTTTAATTTGTCAAAAAGATCTGCAGCATCATCTCTTGTTACCACTATTTATCTCAGTTCTCCAGCTTCCTTCCTGGGATGATCGAATCAGCAATTTTACTGCTGGCAACTGCTTTTTGAAAGTTGGGAAGAAGAGAGGTTCACCCCACAGGAGACAAAATTGTAACGAGGCCCATTTTTAAGGTGTGGTGTTATGCACCTAAAGACAGACGTCTATCAAGTATTCTTAAAAAAATAAAATAAAAGTTAAATCCAGAATTCATTATCTGAACGCATTCAGAGCTTAAACTGCTAAGCTAGTTATACTGCTTTGACTTTCCTGCATGCATCAAAGTCTTCTGTGGAAACCTGGGACTTTAAAAAAAATAAAATCTGGTAGTCATGGTTTAAAATCTACTAAAAGCAGCAGCAGCTTATCCCTAAATCCTCCCTTTTACCTTTATTATCAAAGTGATGCATCTCTGTGGGTGGCATTATTTTGACCCACCTCTGCAAATATCGTGGGGGAGAGAGGAAATGAGATCATTGCTAGTCATGTAGAGGTGGTGAAGAAAGAGGATTTATTTTTCTGGCTTTAGAAAAGACGCCCTCATTTATAAGAGACTGGAATCTCCAGATCAGCAGGTGATCAGCTAGACTTTTCATCTTTTTTTCCTCCTAGCAATATTGGGTGTGCCCCTTCTGCAAAAGCTTTTCTGGCATTCAAGCCCCCTGATCAATATTTGCTCCAATGGCCTTTGCGGTGCATGAAGTGCTATTGTTCTTTGTGTTTGGAAATGCAGCAATTGCTCAGCTGCTTTTAAAAGTAGCCAAGGAGCAAAAGGAGGAATGTGAAGCAGGAAAAACAACTCCTAGAGATGCCTTAAACAAGCAAAGACTTCACACTAATTGGCCCAAAAGGTGCTTTTCCCCCTTCTTTTTCTCTTGGCAAAAACTCAGGAACAATGAAGTGTCTCCTAATCAAACAACACGATCCGTTAACAGCCCAGGGTTCACAAATAGATGCTCCAGATATTTTTGGACCGATAAAAAGGATGCAGGTAAGGTTAAAGATTACATTTAAATGCTGCTTACAATGCCGGCTGGGATATTCTGCAAGACTTGGGACACAATCCAGTGAGAAGTCTTGAAATGCACAGCAGCTGTGGCAAACCAAGTGCTTCTGGTTCACTTCAGCGACACTTGTCTTTTTAGAATTTGAAGCAAAGTTTAGATCAGGTTCTTTTTGTTTGCACTTCAAAATAATATATCCTGATTTCATTTTCTTTCCTGCAGAATCCAGTGTCGCAGGTATCTTCTGTTACCTACACCCAGCGTACAGGAGCACCCTAACAGGATTGTGAGAGACTTTCCCTCTGGAAAGGCAAGGTAAGAGCAGTAACAAGTGGTCTTGTTCGGTGACTTTTCAAATCCCTGTCCTCAAACACCTTCAGAATCTCCTCCACTAGGATCTCTTAGCAGAACCACCAGCCCTGCCTTTGCCAAGTTGATGGATGTTGCAGCCCAAATCACACCAAGGGCCTTAGATAAGGAAGGTGGTACAGTGGTACCTCGGGTTACATATGCTTCAGGTTACATACGCTTCAGGTTACAGACTCCCCTAACCCAGAAATACTACCTCGGGTTAAGAACTTTGCTTCAGGATGAGAACAGAAATTGTGCTCCGGCGGCGTGGCGGCAGCAGGAGGCCCCATTAGCTAAAGTGGTGCTTCAGGTTATAAACAGTTTCAGGTTAAGAACGGACCTCTGGAACGAATTAAGTACTTAACCCGAGGTACCACTGTATTAGAGTCCTGAGGAGCTGATACTTTCTGCCCCACTGTGACAAATTTGTTTTTGCAAGTTGTTTGATCTTACCTGGCAGCATCTGGTGCCCAACCTTCTATGCCTCACATGCTGCCCAGCATTGAGAGCTGCTGCCTGGACTTGCCTGCTGAATGTGTGTCTCTCTTTCTTTCCAGCATTGACAGACGGCATGATGAGTCGTCTGTGGTAACCCAACCCACCTTCTTCTTAAATGATGTTATTGTTCACAATTATCTTAATTATATGGTAGTTTACTCTAATAACCTTTTTGCTTTAAGCCCTGCCTCGGCGATCTGAAGTTTCTTGGCTGTAGGGGAAAAAATGTAGGTCCCTAAGGAAGCAGTAAAGCACATGGTTCTAGAAGCTTCTATTAAGAATAAGATGGCTGGATCTCTTATTTATTGTGTGGCGCATTCCATCAAACTCCTACTCTTGAGACCTGGGAGGTTTTTGCCACCATCTTCTTTCTCACTATCCCTTTCTCATTCTTTAGCTGCCTGTTTCTTCTGTTCTTCTCTTCCGCAAGTTTCTGAGGTATTGGGGTTCTGAGCTGCATAAGGCTTTACAAGTGAATACCAGTGCTTTGAATTGGACTTATGTGTTTGGACCATCCTCCCTGATCAACAATCTGACCACGGAGTTCTTGCTGTGTCTGATGCTGTTTGTAGTCTTCAAAGGCAGCCCCACATTGAAGGCTCCAGGTGGCTGAACAAAACTCCCCAAGCACAACCCTCGGAAAAGAACAATCAAAGTGGGACTGGAACAATTGCAAACAGTGTCACCCACCCCAAACATCCACTCCAGTAGAATACGATGGTTAATGGTACCAAATGCTGCTGAGAGATCATGGGGAAATAGTGGGGCATGTTCCCTCTGTCCTCCTGACAGAGGTCAGCATACCTATTTACATACAGGGGCCATCTTAGAGCACTTCTTCCATCTTGCTTCCAAAGAAAGGACAGCCTTGCATCTGCCTCCTATATTGTGTGGCTGCATCATATTAAAATCAAATAAATCCCCCCTCCTAAATGATTGATTATGCATATACATATTTATGAAGGTTTAATAGATTAATTAATTTCAAGTAATTTAATTTCAATGATACTCCTATTTTAAAAAATAGAAGCATGTGGTAGCTTCAGCTATTACTTTGTCTCTGAAAATAACTTCAGGTGCCTTGTTGGTTCCAAATAATGAACACTGTCTTGTACAACGTATTGTTGCAAGTTTAGGGTGGGGGGTTAGGCTGTATGCCTGAGTCCCTTCTAATTCCTGGATCCAGCAAGGGTTAAAATCATTGGATTCCATTGTTAGCTGGCCAGCTGTCTGATGAAGCTGAATGTTGGAAGATTCAGGACAGATAAAGTCCTTCCTCACGCAGGGCATAGCTAAACTACAGAACTCTCTCCCACAGTAGGCAGCGATGGCTACCAACTTTGAATGGCTTTAAAAGAGGATTAGACAAATTTGTGGAGGCTATATAGGAGCCATGATTGCTATGCTCTGCCTGCACAGCTGGAGGCAGTAATGCTTCTGAATATCAGTTTCTAAAAACCACAGGAAGGATAAATGCTCCTTGCACTCATGTACTTGCAAGCTTCTTGTGGGCATCTGGTCAGCTGCTGTGAGAAGAGAACGCTGGCCTAGATGGGCCACTGGTCTTATGTTCTCATGTTTCTTGATAGCTTGCTTTGCCCCAACGAAAGGCAGCCCAGCAGTTTGCCTTGCGGTCGCCTCTTCCCTATGCTTGTGGCATCCATCAGTCTCCCCGTCCTTTTCTTCACTGTCTCTGGGTGACCCCTACTGGAACGATCAGTTAACTCCCATGCAACAGATACATCCTGCAGCTCTATCTCCCTTCTGCATTTAACGCTTTCCCCCTTGGAATGCTCCTCCTTGTGGCAGGCAGTGGCCTTGTGTAGCTATTAAGCAAGTCTATCCTGTAGGCCAGGGGTAGGCAACCTAAGGCCCGTGGGCCAGATGCGGCCCAATCACCTTCTCAGTCCGGCCCACGGACAGTTCGGGAATCAACGTGTTTTTACATGAGTAGAATGTGTGCTTTTATTTAAAATGCATCTCTGAGGTATTTGTGTGGCCTGCCTGGTATTTTTACATGAGTAGAATGTGTGCTTTTATTTAAAATGCACCTCTGGGTTATTTGTGGGGCATAGGAATTCATTCATTTTTATTTTTCAAAATATAGTCCGGCCCCTCACAGCCCACGGCTGAAAAAGATTGCTGACCCCTGCTGTAGGCTGTACTGTTCTTGGCCCACTGAGATGACTGCAGAACACTGGCCACATACAGTTGCTCAGGGCTGGCCCAAGACGTTTTGCCGCCTGAGGTGAACCACCCAGCCAGGGAACAATGGGAGAATAAGGATTTGCATCGGAGAGGTGGGGGAAGGAAATCAAAGCAACTTTACCTGACGATTGAAGTGGGACTCAGAAGGAAACAGGCCTGCTCTGAATCAAACCGGGTAGGTGCAGAACCCAGGGGACCCAAAGGAAAGCCCCCATTTCCTCCCTGGGAGTGGAAGACCAGCAGCGCCTTCTATTCGTCAAGAGGCTTCTGTAGAGGAGGCATTGGGGGGAGGGGGGAGCCGAGGAGGCAGCAAATCTGGCCTTCAAGGAGTGTGCAGCAGCCATCACACTCGCAGCAGCAGCAAATGCATTCCTTGGAGGCCAGATCTTCTGCTCCATGGATCTGCCACCTGAGGCAATCGTATCACCTAGCCTCATGGCCTGCAGTCACCAAGGGCAGGCCACAATTAATCGAGGACCTTCA